TAAAGCTCTCTAGACACCTTGATTTAGTTTTGTAATTCTGTGTCAGACTTCTAATGTTGAGAACTATAATATAATGAATTGATATTGGCTTTTGCCACTAAGTTTATGGTAATTTGTTATAGAAGTAATAGAAAACTAACGCACCAAGTCATGATATAGACCTCACAATGCACTGTGTCAATTCCATGGGAAGTTTTGGAACTAGAATGACCCTTAAGAATTGCCTGAGTGGGGTCAATATGCAGACCCTTATATTCCCTCATTAACAGGTCATTGGATGTGAGGCATCCCAAGAAGGAAAAGCCCGGATGTGATGACCCACTGCAATTAAAGCAATCCTTAAAGATACTAACAGTTGATGGTTATTTATCAATAGTATTCCCCATACCCCCCCCCCCCCCCAGCAATTCTTCTAGCTGGCTTCCAGCAAGTGAGTCCTAACCTCCAAATTTTTAAGGACGTTTAAGTTTAGACAAAATGATTCATAGAAGACCTGGTCCTTAAGTTCTCACAATTCATGCTATACCTTCCCTTCAGTTACTCATGTAAGTATTTGGGGGGCCTACTAAGTAGCAGATGCTGAACTAGATGTCGAGTATTACAAAGGTGAATTCTAGCTCTAAAGGAATACATAATCCATTAGTCAGCAGTTCATCAGTGTTTTAGAAAGAGTCACTTTATAAGGCAAAGATTTAATAGATTAAACATGAACAGAGTTTTCAGTTTCACTTAAAATATAGCATTAAATGAGAAGTGCTCCATAAAGTAAAGAGATTAAAATACAGTACTCTAAAATAAACTCTTAAGATCCATGGCCTTGCGGTGGCTATAGCTTGCTCCCAACAGATAGGCAAATGTGCAGGACTTACCACTCCGGGTGGAGTACAGTGAGAGCACATGCACCTAAGCCTAAACAGAATGAACCCAAAGGGCAAAGGGAAAAGCCAAAGACAAGGAATTCTGAGACAGCAGAATGACCTGAGTCAAGGGTGGAGGAATACTTGTGTTACAGATCTTCAAGGGTACAGTAGCATTCATGGGGGCCATGATGAACCCTCACAGTATAAGTGTTGTACTGTGAGGTTCTTTCTAAAAGAATTCTTCGGTTTTGTTAGTCTCTGCTATGTAGAAGGAGAAGCCAGACTACAACATAATTCATTAAAGAATGTGTCTTCATAGAATGAATATTGCACTTACTATAAACATTCAATAAATGATTGAATAAGTAGAAATAAAGGAAGCTATAGAGTATATGTCAGAAACTTTTTTATAAGTGAAGAAGTGACAGAGTTAAGGGTTTTGCATATGTCCTGGAGTTCACAGGGTAGATGACCTGGGCGGCTGTGGTCAGACGACTCCCTCACTGACAAACCCACAGCTTTCCTGCAAATTAATCATGAAGACTGAGTACTGGTTCAAAATAAGCAAAGCTATACTTTATAATAATATTTCTCAGCTATCAATGTGATTCACTATATGAATGTAGAATTATAGCAAATCATTCTCTGAGAATCAGTTTTTTGTAATACTGATGAACATATGGAAAGTAAAATGCATCTATCACATATGAAAGAGTGAGGGATCCACACCTAAAATGCCACAGATAGTGCCAGTTGCCACACCTCAAGGAAAATATAAAGAGCCCAGAAAATATTCCAATAAAATGGAAAAGTATTTGTATTGGGTAAGACTATCATAATTTCTAGTCTGGAAGTATGAAGGCTAATAGAATTTGCAAGATCTAATTATAATGTAGGGAAGGATATTACTTATATTGTATGGATGGCATTGTTAGAATGGTAGAATTATGAGTAATCCTTTCAAAACTAAAAGAACATGGTTTTGGACAAGACATACAAAAGGAAATTGTGCCTGGAAATAAAGCAGATTGAAACTTTCTAGAGAGATGACACAGGTTGAGAGCATAAATGTGCTCCAAAGAGTATGGCTAATTCCATAAGTAGCAGCTCTAGTGCAAATGATTGAAGGAGGTAAGCTCCTTGACTTCTGAAGTTGGTGAGACAAGACGGTAACGTCCCACTACGTATGACACAACAGCATAGTATCTTGGGCCTGGGAAGGACTATAAAGTGAGTTGGTACAGTTAGTCCCCTGATGCTTGAATCCCTTCTGTGATGTTCCCACCAGTGATCATCAACTAGTGTCCAATGCACTTAGCTACAGGGACCTTCTTAAGGATGCTATTCTATCTCTAGATAGTTCTGCTAGGAAGCCTTTGTAGTAAACTGAAGTTGATTTCACATGATTTCTGGTTCTATACCTTGTTACAGGGCAGAACAAAGCCAATCCTTTTCTATGCAGCCTTGTCTTCAGCATAACAATTATCATCAGCTTACCTTCTGTCCTCTGACCCTAATCCAAACTATATTTTCAAGTATGTACTTTCCCAGTTACATTTCCAGTTTCCCTCTCAAGCCCTGTTCTCTGCCTATCCCTCAAATAGTGGCATTATCCAGGATTTCTAACTTGGCTACTCATTTTCTTGCTCAGGCTATTGACTTTATCCCCACCCATGGCTTCACCAGCTTCCTAAATGCTGTAGATATCTAAATATGGATCCCCAAACTCTGTTGTCTTCCTGTGCTTGAAGACTATACTTAGTATGGCTCATTTATCTGACCATACCACATCTCTGCTTTTCTCCAAATTTAAACATTCTCTAGTATTGCCTATCTAGATCCAAGGTACCATCTACTTACTCAACCAAGCAAGAAACTTCAGTCATCCTAGATTCCTCCCTTTCCCCCATCTCCTCCATCAATTCAGTGACCAATCCCTAAACATCTCTCAATTCAACTTTCCACTATTATCCTAGTTCAGGTCTTCTCTGTTCAACAGAACTATTGTGAATACCGCCCTATCTTCAGGCTCTCTTCCCTACTCCACTCCATCCTACATATGAAGGTCATAATTTTCAGAAATGTCCCTACTCAAAACTACTTAATGGCTCTCTCAGCACTTTCAGAATAAGGTCTTGATCTAGCATCTGTTTACTCTGGCCTTGTCTTCTGCACTCTCTCACATACAGACCTCAGTCATACTAAGTAGCAGGCAGTTTTCCAAATGTAGCATGCTTTTCTCATTGCCTAGAGTTCCCATTCCTTCTTTGTCTGACAAACTCCAAATCATCCTTTAAGACTTCTCTTAAACATTCCTTTCTTTGGAAAGTCTTTTTTGGCATTTTGAGACTGAATTTCTATTCCTTCTCATCATACTCTGCCATTCCTGTAGTACACATGATCTAAACTTTAATTCTTGTTTCAGTTGCTTATCTCTATTCATTTTGTGGGCACTTTTTGAAGGCAGTGAATAGGTTTAGCAGAGGGTCTGCTAACACCTCAAGGTGTTCAGTTAAGCTATGAATGAATGAATGAAATATACACACCATGCTATGTTTTCTTGCCTGTATATTCTTACTCAGAGCCTCATTCTCTCAGCCCATTCTCCACCTATATCAAACTGTATTGACTTTTTATTGCCCTTCATATGCTTCCTTCAGCCTTATTTCTTTCCTGATCACCCCACTGAGAATCTGCCCAGAGAATGCTGTCCACTCATGAAGCACTTATCACAGTGTCTGTTGACGCAGCTCCTCCCTTCCCC